CCTAAGGCCTCTGTGTAATATGCAGGTCCCATTAACAGTAATAACTCAAATTGCACTTAATTTCATCCCCACCTACTGACAAAACCTCTCATCCTTTGCAAATTCCACCCCCTCCTCCCACCCAAGCTTTTAAAGAGTGGCTCTTAAGTGTTCACAGGTAAATCCACATGGCCAGATGGCCAGTTCTGGTCTGCCACTGGTCAGGGGCACCAGTGAATTACAGCTGTACTTCTAACTTTCACATAGTATAATATGCATAGGAAATGAATTAAGTGTAAATCTAATTTTGTAAGCCAAAAAAATGTATTATTATTTTGGTAAGTATCTTTTAAAATACCATACATTATCATCATTACACATACATTATCATCATTACACAGAATACAGTAAATATTGTAAAAATATTTCTTATTATGAAATATTTGAGACACATAAAAGAATATTTAGGTAAGTTACCTACCAGGTAAACATTAAGATGTGAACCCATCACCCAACTTAAGAACTAAAGCATTACCATTACTAAAGTGTGTTCTGTTTCCACCCCATTGCCTCTTTCCCAGGGACTGTTACAGTCCTGAGCTTTGTTTTTAGCACACTCTTCTTTTATAATATAAACTTCTACTATATGTATGTATTCCTAAACAGTGTACTGTTCAGATTCTCTTAGTCTTATAGAAATTATATATTTTATGTACTCCTCTTTAACTTGCTTGCTTCATTCAGTATTTCTAAGATTCAACCATGACATTACATGTATCTATGGTTTATTCATTTTTATTGATATATAATATTTCATTGGGGTAAATCACCACAATTTTTTTTACCCATTCTCCTGAGATGAACTTTTGGCTTGCCTTAATATTTTTGTGATTGCAAGCAATGTTGCTGCCACACAATTGCAAAAATTTATCTCAGAATGTATAGTCCTAAGAGTGGAACTGCTGGGTATTTACATTTTCAACTTTACAAGATGGCTCTGAATTTTTTTTCCAAACTGATTTAACAAATTTACATCCCCTCTATCAGTATATAATATCTTCTTGATTTGCATCTTTACCAATCCTTAGTATTATCAAACTTATTATTTACCAGTTAGTGACTATAAAATAGTACCTCCATGTACAGATTAAAACTAATGATAAAGTTGAGCAACTTTTTACACATTTTCTCATTTGGATTTACTGTCCTGTAATACGTGCCTACCATAACTTTTGATCATTTTCCTGTTGGACTTTTCTGATCTGCAGGAATTCTCTCTATATAATCTAAGTATTGATTATTTTTTAGTGGTGAATGTTATACTTTGACTATATCCAACCCCATTCATACAAGCTTTTCCCATTCAGTTCTCAGTGTTCTTTGGGTTGCTCATAGGGACTGGTGTTTTCTTCCTGCCTAACAATCCCTCATGTTTGTGCTGGATAATCAGTTTACAAAGCACTCTCACAAATCTTACCTCATTTGAGTACCTCAACAACTTTTAAAAGACAAGCTGGGTATTATTATACTTGTTTTATAGATAAGGACACTGAGTAGTTTGCCAAGCTCATACATAGGGCTCATAAGTCCTCAGTCTCTGTGCATATTCTTCTTATGATTATATGATGCTTCAGCTGTTTATAGATTATGGCTTATTCATTTCAGCAAATGCTGTACCTCTGCTTAGCATCTTTACTTCAGTTCCTTCTTTTTTATGTATATAATTCAAGATATAGCTCTAGTCTGTGAGGTTCATTCTAAGTTCATTACCTTCAACGTAACAGATGAGTAAAGGAAGCACCAAGACAATGTTTTTTAATAGGATTAAAAAAAAAAGAATGTCCAGGAGGATATTAGAAACTGCAAATTACCTGTTCTGAGGCAAAATCACATTTTTAAAATAATGGGTCTATTATGTAAGAGTTGAGTTCAAATTTAGTATTTTTCTTTCTCTTGGCCTTTTAGAGAGTTAATAAAAGGAGTATGGTTAATAAAGAGAATAAAAATATACTTTAATATTTATTAGTATTATCTAAATTTGCTGTCCCATTTATGCCAAACTGATTTTCTAATAATTAATTATTAAATATTTGTTATATTAGCTATAACTGATACTTATATTAAATGTTGAACTTACAGTGGGAAGTGACATTGATAGGACAGTAATTCCATCACTCAACCTCCGGCTGAAGCTCCTATGCCTGGGCAGTTTGGTGAGACTCTGCCTACTGTGGGAACCCAAGAAGGGTGGGCTGTTAGCTGTCAAATGAGAGACTCCCTGCCCCCCCACCAAAGTGTTACTTCTCAAACATCTGAGATGGCGAAAGGTGGTATTTCTTACTTTCTGGGAGTTTTTAAATTCATTCATTCATTCATTCACCCTCAAGCTGACCAAACTACTTCATGTGATATCTTTAATTTTTTGGTGGTTTTCATGGATTATTCAATTTTCATGTACATTGCATACACCAGAGAAAACTATGTTTGATGAAATTAGCAGCAATACCAAAGGACCTGAGTATAACTAAGGAAATAGCATTCCTACTCTGAGCTATTTTAATCACTGTATAATAGTTGTATCTTAAGCACATCCCCTGATGAATAATAAAGAGACAGAACCTCATTGTATCTTCTCCAAAAGGAATAGTTTTAACAGCAACTGTCTGTTCTACAGATAATTACTAAATATGACTTTTCCTAGGTCTCTTTTTCCTAGTATATCTCCAATTATATACCTGGTATTTACTCATCAAATATTCCTACCTCAGTGTCCAATTTAAAATTGGTTGGCTTGCTATTTTATTTTTGATCAGTGGCATTTTGGCCACTTTAATAAGGGTACTGAGCATCACTGTTAGTAGTAGGGTTTTTATTTTTCTTGGCTTTTTCTGTTCTGGCACATGTGAATTTTGTTTTGTCAAAGAGTTTTCTTGGTCTCTGATGATGGGTTTAAAATTAACGGAGCATCTGGTTTTAGTGTGGGGATGATCCAGGATTATGTTATAACTGATGTATATTGGTTACTCATATATATATATATATATATATATATATATATATATATATATATATATATATTTGATCTTTGCAAGGGGAAAGCTACAAGGAATGAGTTTTATGAAATAAATTTAAATTTGTTACAGGTTTTCATGTTCAGTGCAAACAATTTTTCAACTTTGGGTAAAAACACTTGCAACAGCTTAAGGTGACTGTATTTTACCTTAGGATAACTGTTGCATGCCAGTTTGTGTGTGTATGTAAACACTTCAAAACTGAGTTAAAAGATGCAAATTTAAAATTGGTTTTGTGTCTAATGTGCCCCAGGTTCAGTAAACAAGCAATTATTTAAAAGACAAACCCAAACAAAAAACAATTGGTTGGCTTGGTCCTGTTTCTGTGAAGTGATGGTTTCTCTAAGTATTTTGATCGAGAGCCATGTGTGATATATGAAAAATAATATACGGCTGATATAAGCATCCGATATTTCTGGGTCAGGTACGATACCAGGCTCATGAGGTTCACTTTGAGTAGGGGATAATTATACCACAAAGTGGTAAGCATAAGAGAGAGGTGTGCACTCAGAGAAGGGTACCTGATGACTTGAATTCAGATCTGTATTTGGAGAAAATGAGTTGAACTCCGGATTGGTAGCTTTGAGCTCTACCTATTTTATGGTTTTGTGTTAAGGATGTGGGTCATCATCCCTAAAGACTCATGCATTCCTAATGTAAGGGGAGGGCCTTCCTAGAGGGGAAGCCTCTAGAATCACTGGTCCACTGCCTCAAAGAGGCAAATTACCCTTCTGAGAGAAAGGGCATCCTTTATATTTTCACAAGATCATCTTCAGACTAACTGGTTTAAAAAACCCTTGTGGATGTGACCACATAATTTAATATCCACTCTATCTAGGACAAGACAAGATCCTGGAATATCGATTGGGACAACAGACCCAAACAAGGACTGTCTCAGGCAAACCAAAAACGTGGAATGAAAAGTGCCCTAGGCCTTTAAGAGGTAAGGGTGGGAGGGTTGTTTTGATAGATTCTTCCCTTAGGAGGAAAAAAATGTTAGAAGCCAAAGAAGCTTCTGTTGCTTTTTCTAGAGGACAGTGGGGTTTTAAAGAATTTACAAAGGCCTGAAATCTTTGGCATTTCAATTTTGACTTTTAAAGATTCCCTATTTTGATATTATAATTAATTCCCAATAATTAATTTCCCAATATAATTAAAAGGGTCTTTATATTGGTCTTTAGGGACAGCAAGAAATGAGAGTCTGGGGAAATAATACATCATTCTGTTGTCACTTTGGATGTTGGTGGGGAAAGAGTAATGAAAGGGTTTTTTCCAAGAAAGAACAGACTACTTAGCAGCGGGGAGGGGCATCTGGAATTACAAAGAAACATTGGGGACAAAAGAAAAAGGCTTGTGAAATGCCTGACACCGGCCTGATTAATAAGGCCCTGGTTTCTAAGTGACCTCGGGTGACAATCTGCGCTGTGTGAGAGGGTGATCGCTGAGGGCAGCGTCACTTGGTTTTCTGGAACTGGGTTGTCTGTGGGAGTCCAGGGACTGCAGCTTTGGGTCAGCTGACCCCGAGAGCTCTGGAGGGTCCTCGGTGAGATGCAGGACGAAGGCTCCACGCGCAAAAGGCTGGCCTCGAAAGCCACCAGCCTGAACCGGGCTTCCGGTCAGGTGCGATCAGTGGGCTACGCTTCCCCCACGACCCCGCCCACTCCTGTCCCAGGCCCGCCCACTCCGCACCCTCTCCCTTAAGTGGGCCAGCTGCTCCCTACTTCCAAGCCAGCGCCGGGAACTCGGGTCGCGGCAAACTTCAGACCCGGGCGGCGCGGGGGTGCGCCCTCTGCGCGTGCGCACGCCGGCTCTCGGCCCCCTCGCTTCGTCCCCTGCGCCGGGACTTGGTACGGCCGGGACGGCGGTTGGCGCCCTCCCGGGCAGCCAGGGGCGGGCTTTTCAAACCTTACCTTCGGAGTTGTGCCGGCAGCCCTAGCTGTGGCGCTGCAGATGGAGAGGCACATCCTGAGGGGATACGAGCTCCGCGCGGCGGGGCTTGCGGCCCAGCAGGTGAGTGAGGGGTGGGCCCGGCTTCAGGTCCTCGAGCGGTAGTTTTGTCTGGGCGACGGGGAGAGACCCAGTCCGCGTCTCTATTCAGCCGAGGCCAAAAACAAAAGGAAAAAGTAGGCGACTGCACTTTTCGGACCCTAGGAGACCTTGGAAATCTCCCTATTCCCACCTCCCCAACCCCGCCCCCAGTTTTTTAGGAAGGAAATTGGCCTGGAAGGGGGAAGCGAGTTTTGGGCGCACCTGTTCGTCACCCCTCCTTCCGGGATTGGGACCTTGTCTTTTTGTAAGTGTGGCTGACTCCGGGGACTGGGAGCCCCAGGATTTTCCGGAAGCCCACCCGAGGCCAGTGGAGAACAGTTTGCTTGTTACTAGATTTGATGTAAAGCACAATTACTGTGGAAGCTGTGTCTACACGCTGTATAAACTTGATGGGGCGGGATGGAGAAGCAAACTGGAAACTCTGAACTTGAGAAACAGTTGGTCTGCTAGTGGATTCTTTTATTATTTCTTGGCATTTATTAAAAGATTATACTTTCCACTCTGAACCTTTAAAGATATTTGGAAGATGGGGCTTAAGAGAAAATTCTGCCTCTGAACTGGATATCCACTTCCAATTTAATCTCCAGTTTTACCTATTTTTGAAGTAGGTTAAACCATATGAAATTCCCAGTTTTGTATATTAGAATTGGTAGAATATTAGCAATTTCATACCATTAGCAATGGTCCAACCTATTATTTTTTGCTTAGAAACCTATTTTCTTTTCTGGAAATCTTAGAATCCTCAGCAGATACGAAGTTATTAGGAAGTCTTCATAATGGTGTGAAAGCTAAAACATGACATTTAGTCTTTCTCCAGAGAGTGCAGTAACTTTATCAGTAATTTATACTTTTTATGGCAGCATTTAAAAAAATTTCTAACATTTTGATGCACAGTGTTTTTCTATCTTCTTGTGTACCTCTTTTTTTTTTTAAACTGTAAATGGTATCCAGCTGGGCCTCTCAATGCTCCGAAGCCAGTAAAGAGGCACGGTTGGTGGAAAGGAAAGTTGACTTCATTTTGGAGGCCAACAAACAGTGGGGGAGGGCAGTTGTTATTTAGTCCCTCAGTCCTTCCACTCTTTTGTGACACTATGAAGCCCACCAGGCTCCTCTATCCATGGGATTTCTCAGGCAGGAATACTAGAGTGGCTATCCGCTCTACTATTTCCTTCTTCAGGGCATCTCCCTGACCCAGGGATCAAACCTGTGTCTCCTGCAATGGAAGGCAGATTCTTTACCTCTGAGCCACCAGAGAAGCCGTGGGGGAGGGCGGACTCCTATCCAAAGGCTGACTTCACCCCAGTGACAGGCGGCCAAGAGCTTTTATAGGCAGAGGGAGGGGGCTGCATGCAGAAATAGCACAGTCAGCTTTGACAACAGTCATCTTAAACTTGTCATTGGTACTCTGACCAGTGGCATCTTGATTGTTTTAAGTATAGTTAAACTTCACTTCCAGGGTAGGTTTGTTCCCATTTCTTTGAGACCAGTTCTTGGAGTTATGGCAGCTTCTGTAATGGCTACTGTCTGGTCTTGTATTGACAGTTAGCTTATTCCGCCTGGTTGGGGTTTCAGTATCCTTAAGACATCTCATGGGATATGGCTTAGAATATTATCTGTAGCCCTTGAGAAGGAACTAATTGTCATTGACTTTCCTTACTGGCTAAATTATTGATATTATTGTTTTGTCCTGTTTTCAAGGTTTTCTTTGCTTCTGTATTTTGTTACTTCTCTGCTTAAACTTATTGTTTGGCTAAAGGTGTTTCGCAGGCAAAAAGGCAGGCTGAGGATGTGGAGGGTAGGGACCTTAAAGGTTTTGCTCTGTTTCACTTCGATTGTACTAATTATTTTTTAAAAATTTAACTTCTAGTGAATTGGTGGTTATCTTGAGGCTCTTGCATTTATCACATAGGTGTTGGTGGGGCCGATCAGGTGTATTTATTGAGCTGTGTGTAGCAGCAATATTTTGGAATGGTACAAAAGAGATGAGAATAAGGTCATAAAAGAAGTTTTATGTGGAATGACAAGAAATACTTAAATATACATAAAGGTGAGATTACTTACATGTAGGAAAGTACAATACTTAATGATTTCTTAGGTAGCAACAAATTAAGATAATTGAGTTGTAGAATTCCTTCTGTTTGGATCATGGAGAAAAATTGCAAATAGTAATAGGTTGTAATCTCACAGGAATATTGAGGGTCAGTACAAAAATTTTATACTTGACTAACACTGAATTTTTGTATTTCCTTTGATATTAATGAACCTGCCATAAGATAGGGATAGGTCCAAAAGATTCTGAGATGGTCACTCACTAGTATAACTTCTCTACTTGAACATTAGTTAGCTGTCACTACTCACAGCATAGAATATTGGCTTTGAAGTCCAATTAAGGTACAATCCAATGCTGCTTGTTGTGTAACCTTGCATAAGTTAGCTGTCTTTTCTAAGTTGCAGTTTCTTCAGTTGTGGAATGGAGAAATCGCTTATTTTAGAGAGTTGTTGGAATTTGAGAACCTCTTTATTTAAAGTACTTCATGGACTTCCCTGGTGGCTCAGATGGTAAAAGCGTCTGCCTGCAATGCAGGAGATCCCAGTTTGATCCCTGGGTTGGGAAGATCCCCCTGGAGAAGGAAATGGCACCCCACTCCAGTACTCTTGCCTGGAAAATCACACGGATGGACGGAGGAGCCTGGTAAGTTACAGTCCATGGGGTCGCAAAGAGTTGGACATGATTGAGCGACTTCACTTAAAGTACTTAACAACACTCATACATGCTTGAAAGATGACTGGTTTTGTTACTATCTTTGTTCCATTTATCCAAATAGTTGGGGCAGCCACCTACCTTTTCTTACAAATGTTTAAGCTTTTGCAGTCTTTATAAAAATTAAAATTCAAGGCATACTTTCTCATTGCAGGAAAGTAAACATAGAAACATGAATTTATGAACTCTTTCTCCAGTTCCATTCCCCAGAATGAGCATTGTTAACAATTTCCATACTTTTCTCTGTACATAAACAATTCTTAAAATACACACAGTTTCTTTTGGAAAGAATGTATCTGTATATGCTGTTTTGCAGTCTTTTTCATTGTAGGTTCTTAGTTAACATGGTTTAACTGTATGCATTAGGTGGGTGTAGGTTCTATGTGGATTCATGCAGTTTTGTTTTTTTACCAGCTGCCAGCTCCGTTTTTTCTTTTTTTTAGTCAGTACTTAATTTCACCACTCTGGCATTTTCTTTGTCCTTCCTTTGTATGGCATTCTAGCTCTTAAAATTTAGTATATTTCTGTTTCCTACATTATCTAAGTTTTCACATTTAAGTCATCTATTTCCTTCTTAGCCTTGCCCTATCCATTTAGTCTTATCAACCTGTCTTTAAATACGTATGAGATAAGGCTTCTGTTTGACTTGATAGCAAGCCCTTATTTAGAGACATGCTTTTGTCATGTGTCCTAGTCAGTTTTGACTCTACCAATATGATTTTAGTTGCCTACTCTTCCTCTTTGAGGTCAGTAAGCATCACCATTGAATGCTTACTGTCATTACACAATCACTGTTCTCACTGTGGTTGGCACTAGACATCACTCCTAGCCTCAGAGCCCTTTGTACCCCTTTTTAACTAAAACCAAGTCCTTTGATTCCATGAAGCTTTTCTTGGTTAGAGTAGTTTCCTTGACCAGAGATGTTTTCTCTGCATAAAAAGCATAGACATGTACTGTACATTCTAGTCTGGTAGTGGTGGTTTAGTCGCTAAGTTGTGTCTGACTCATGATCCCATGGGCTATAGCCCACCAGGCTCCTCTGTCCATGGGACTTCCCAGGCAAGAATACTGGAGTGGGTTGACATTTCCTTCTCCAGGGGATCTTCTTGACCCAGAGATCAAATAGTATATATACTACAGTAAGAGAACTTGCATGGAGAACACAAAACTGGTCCTTTTGTTTCATTAAAAACAGAAGCTAACACACATTTTAAATCAACTATACTCCAGAAAAAAAAAATACACTTAATTTATCCCACTTGTGTCAGCCCTCCAAGATCCACATCCACTCACGTAGAGTAAGGGAGGTAAGGTCACAGTTTACTATGTAAGTTAATTTGGCTGGATTAGGGGTCAGCAAACCTCTTCTGTAAAGGGACACATGGTAAATATTTTCAGCTTTGTGGGCCACATAGTCTCTCTTGAAATTATTCAGTTCTGCCTCTGTAGCTTGAAAGTAGCCATAGACAATAGAAATGGGTGTGACTATGCGCCAATACAACTTTATTTACAAAAACAGGCACTGGGTTAACTATAGTTAGCTGCCCTCTGCTCTAAAGGATGTGTGTGCTCAGTAACTCAGTTGTGACTCTTTGCGACCCCATGGACTGTACATAGTCCACCAAGCTCCTCTGTCCATAGGATTTTCCAGGCAAGAATACTGAAATGGTTTGCCATTTCTTCTTCCAGGTGATCTTCCTGACCCAGGGATCGAACTTGCATCTCCTGCATTGGCAGGCAGTTTATCACTGAGCCGTTGGGAAGCCTGATCTAAAGGATCAGTTCAGTTCAGTCGCTCAGTCATGTCCGACTCTGCGACCCCATGGACTGCAGCACGCCAAGCTTCCCTGTCCATCACCCAACTCCCGAAGCTTACTCAAACTCGTGTCCATCGAGTCGGTGATGTCATCCCACTATCTCATCCTCTGTCGTCCCCTTTTCCTCCCGCCTTCAATCTTTCCCAGCATCAGGGTCTTTTCCAATGAGTCTGTCCTTTGCATTAGAATTCTAATATCTGCCAGCTGTATCTCATTTCTTTAATGAACTTTTAATCTTACAAATACTGTAAATTTTTTTTAAGCCCTGACTGTACATTTCCTTTCTCCACTCTATCCCAAGCCTCTCCAGTTTTATGATGCCTTGATCAATAATTGATGAAGAGAGACAGTCTTCATTTATAGGATGGAAACCTTAGAAACCAATTCCTAAGTGTTTTTGTGGCCACCTGCTGGTTCCTTAAGGTTTCTGCAATTTTCCAGATTGCTGGGGAATATCAAGTAGTCCAGCGCTGGTTCTCTACCTGGACTGTGCACTGAATCACCAAAGGAACTTAAAAAAAAAATGTGCAGGTTCTAATTCCACAAATCCTAATTGTTTGTTTTTGTTTGCCTGAGGTGATTCTAATATGTAGCCAGCTTTAAGAATGACTGTGCTAGTTCAACTGGCTGCTTCATTCTAGTATTTAAAAAGCAAACTTGAATTTAATGGCACCAGATGGTATTTGTTTATATTTGAGTTGTGGGGTAGTTTTTCATCCCAGTTTAACGTTGCTCCGTAAGTGCACTCTCCAATACTAACCTGCCTGCCAGAGTTCATTTCTATAGACATGTGGGTCACACAGATAATTCTTAAAATTGATTACTAATTACATTAAAAAAGAATTTACTTTGACTGACAAGTCATAAAAAGATGAGATGGAGTTGCTGAAATTCAGTCATGTGTAAAGAAGGAAAAGTAGCAAATGACTACATTTATATAGTACATCAGTTTTGAGTTATGCTACAAAAGAAAGTTTTTATATAGTGATTACATGATGTAATTACAGAACGTAATTAAACAGATCTGTTTTCTGCATGTGAATAGTACGTTTGATGGATTTGGATAGTCAAGTTAAATCATCTGCAATTTTTCTTTTCGAATAATCTTCATAGACTATTGCTCTAACTTTTCTGCTTTTCCTTTTAAAAAGATTGTCTTTTCAGTATCTGAAGCTTTTGTTATTAGATTCATTCATTTTTTGATACAGGTTTCATGTCACTTAAAAGGTAAATTATAGCATTCTTTTTTTTTAACCACAGATACCAGGGTGATCTATTTTTAGAAGTAGACAATTAAAAAAATTAAAAAAAAAAAAAAAGAAGTAGACATACTGAAGCATTAGCATATGTTTGTAGGATAGTAAAAAGTAACAACTTAACAACTAAACAACAAAATAACAAAGAGTATCTAGTGATTTATAATTTTTTTAAAAGTCACTGAATTAAATCAGAAGAGTACATATCAATTTACACAATTTTGATGTTATATCTGAAACTTGTTTTTAGAGCCGGGATGTTATAAGATCATTGTACAGAATGAAAGAAAGACTTTCAGAACTAAAATAATTTAGTAGTTTCATGGTGACTCTTAAAACTAAAATAAATATATACAAAACTGTATTTTAAATCTCTGGTCCAGGAAGCTAAAGCTCCTGACATTTTCTTAGTACAGTGCTTTTACTCTCTTGCTTCTGAGATTTTATTTACATTGCTTACTCTAACAAATAGCCTGTTAATCTCTCTGCTGCTAAACCTTAGTTCCTTTGTTCAGCATCTGTTCTTTTAGAAAGTTTTTCCTTGGTTAACTCAGTATCATCAGTTAACATCTTGCCATTTCACAGTGCAACTTACATGAAACATACATATGCTATACTGTTCACCTTGGTTATTATATTTTTGTGTTAGTTTCCTGAGGTTGCCTTAGCACGGTATGAAAATTGAATGGCTTAAAACGACAGAAATTTTTTCTGTCATAGTTCTGGGGTCCAGAAGTATCTGCAGGGCTGTGTTCCTGCTGAAGGGACTAGAGAAGAATCTGTCCTTGCCTTTTCCAGCTTCTGATGGTTGCTGGCAATATTGGTGTTCCTTGGCTTGTAGACTCATTACTGCAATCTTTACCTGCATCTTCACACAGAGTTGTCTGTGTGTCCCTCTGTTTCTCCACCTGACTTTGCTATGAGGCCAGTAGTCATTGGATTTAGGGTCAAAATGAATCTACTATGACCTCATCTTAACTAATTACATCCACAAAACTGTGCAGATAAGGTCACATACTGAGGTTCTTGGAGGACAAGAATGTTTGGGGGACACTATTCAACCTTGTACAATTACAGTAAAAATATGTAGTATTTCTCACTTTTGTTTCTGTTCTGTTTTTCTAGTAGATTATAAAGGCTCCCTAATAAAGCAAGAAATTAAGATTTTGCAGAGAGTATTTAACAATTTTTATACTATCATACATTAAAACTTTATTACTTTCCTGATATAAAGTTGTAATACTAGATAGTATATTTTTCATTTGTTAGGAATAAAAAGAAATGTTATTCTGTGTTTTGCTGCCTTTTAAAATGCTTTTTTTCCCTCTGTCTTTTCTAAGGACTGCAGCATTCAAGAAAAAATAGATTTGGAAATTCGAATACGAGAAGGAATATGGAAACTCCTTTCGTTGAGCACTCAAAAAGGCCAGATTTTGCAGGCAGTTAAGAATCTTATGGTGTGCAATGCTCGAATAATGGCTTACACATTGGAGCTGCAGAAGTTAGAAGAGCAGATTGCAAATCAAGCTGGAAAATGGTTAGTGGCATTGTTTACCTATGGTTTTTAATGTACTTAAATATTTACATTAAAAACACTGTGTGATTTAACCTTAAATTTAATCTAAAATGTCAAATCACCAAAGCTTTTAAAAAATACACTGAAGTAGCCTCTAGTATCATAAACATTTTGACAGTAGGGCTCAGAATAAACTTACTATTAAGGCAGCAGTTTTTACTGGGCAGTTTTATTGTGTTCATTACTTGAAGGTTGTAAAATGAAGTGGTTAAGAAGCAAGGAGTGAGGAAATATTTTAAGAAGGATCAAGATTGATACTAGAATATTAATGTGTACAAATGTAAATTTTAAAGAGCTAATTACTTAAACTGATAAAAAGGTACTATTTGAGAGAAAGGGAAACTTAGGTATAGAAATTGACATGAGCGGGCAACAGAATTAAAGCTATGAGTAGAATTAAAGATATCAATGGGAGGGAACTTAAAAATCAGCAAGCCCATCCCTTTCATGTGCTGAGTGTAAGTTCTAGTGAAGCAAGTCACTCAACTCAAGGACAAATTTTAACTACTGACAGAAGCTCATGAGAGGCTCCTTATGATTTGCTAAGTAACCCCTGGAGCTTGTTCTCTCTGTCGACTCGTGCTGCCTTTTACAGTTCTAAGTCTTACTTGGACCTTAGAATTGACTCAACTTAGTGACTAGATACTGGCTTCCTTCATCATATAAATGGTTTTACATTATCCATGGTTAATTTGTTAAAGCTATAGCGCTATTTAAAAGTTTCTTTTTAGACATTAGTGGCCATTGATTTGGTTGTTCATAGTACTCCTCCGTGAAATTCTTGAAAAGTAAGGTAAAGTCACAGGTCAGAGAAAGAGATTTCTGTAAAAATAGAATATTGATGAAATCATATAATAAACACTTGTGTACAAAGTATAGTATTTATTAGCTTTATTCCCTTGGGATAGCTGTTTAACCTGTTTAATTTCTGTAGTAAAGAAAAATTTCTACAGTTGACAGAATATTTACATTTTGAAAATTAAGATATATATTAAAAACCTAAAAATCTTTTTATATAATTAGTATTCGCAATATGTCAAATAATTTTCACTATTATTTATCCCTGGTATTATAAAATGAAATTATTCCAGTATCATAATCTAGGAAAATATTTTTCAGGTACACATAACACTGGAATAATTCTGTGCTTCCAAAATGGGCCAAATGTATTACTTAGAGTACATGATTGTGTGTCAGAAGACACGCAAAGCCAAAGAGTAACTATGGCATATCTTTTTGTAGCATGAATTTTTAAGATAAAGTGTGAGAAATTTAGAAGTGTGGCTTAGTTTTGTATTATGCTACTCACAGGAGTATATATTCCTTCTAGCAATATTTTGTCAAGGAGGATTTATAACAATATTTTGTTTAGGAGGATTGTTAAGTGGAAAAGTTTGAGAAGCACTGGATTTTAAGTACAGTATTTATAACAATATTTTGTCAAGGAGGATTGTTTAAGTGGGAAAGTTTGAGAAGCGTTGGTTTTTAAGTATAGGCATGCTCAGTCATGTCCGACTCTTTGGGACCCTGTGGACTGTAGCCTGCCAGGCTCCTCTGTCCATGGGATTTTCCAGGCAAGAATACTAGAGTGGGTTGCCATTTCTTGCTCCACAGGATCTTCCCGACCCAGGGATCCAGCCTTCGGCTCTTGCATCTTCTTTACCACTGGGCCACCTGGGAAGCTGGTTTAAGTACAATATGGGACTAAACACTCAATATTTTGTCATCACTCACAGTCACGTAGAATGTTCCTCTGGGAATCACATCTGCCCTTCATATTTATGTTCTTCAAATATTTATAATGATTTGTGAACTGACCATTTTATTAATTTGACTGTACAGCTTTCCTGAAGTTGCTGATTTGTAAAAATGTTAAATTATCTTAATCCCTGTTGGATTTATATAACAAAGATAAGAAAAAATATCTGGGAACTGTCACCTGAAAATGTGTACAACTTTCTATTTCTTTACTGATTATCTTTGATAAAAATAGCTTTGATGGTATATTTCTTTTATATTTCAACATTTATATTTATCACTCATATAGAAACATTGCATCTGTTAATTATTATTTCTTTAAAAATCTGAATATTCTGTATGAATTATTTTGTTTATAACTTCTTTTTGTTATGTGCACATATAACCCGAGGTCACTGATCAAATGTAACTGAAAATTACAGTACTTTTTTTCTTATTACATAAAAGAACATAAAAGAACCTAAAGATAAAAAAGAATCCCATGATAGATTTTTTAGTTTCTTGAAGAAAGTTATGTAAATTATGCCATTTGATTAATCAATCCAGTATTTATCAAATATCTACTACTTGAAGAACATTTACTAAATATTGTGCTAGTGTATTCAAATTCAAAAAACAGAATTTGTCAAAATGTGAGTGTATTTGTATATTCAGCAGTCAAATGATTTACCTTCAGAGACTCAGCAGTCTGTGCCTTTCTTTGTTTTGGTGGTCTTCAAGGTAGAAAAGTATTCCAGTTTTACTTTGCTGCCAGAACTTAAATAGCACTTTAATGAGTCTACTGCCTAACACTAGTCTACCTTCTCTAAAATTTTATGATAAAATGTCAGAAAATTAATAGACTACATCTAGAGTTTTTCAAAGAAGAGTTAAATCACTATAAAATGGTATAGTTAAGGAAGGTCTAATGGAAAAATTGGATAGATAGAGTTTGGTTTGTTGAGTAGGAAGAAAGCAGGATTCCAAGAAAGAAAAATCTCAAAAGTTTGGGATGAAATATAAGCATGAATTACTCAGTTGCAGTGAAAAGATGTGTTTGGATGAAGCTGAAGATCAAGCCAAAGTGGGAAAGGATGTGGATAGCAAAGATTCAAGAAAGTTTACAGTGATAGGAGTTTAATTGGTATTTCCTGATAGTCTTTCCAGCTGGCATATTCTGTGCCAGGGCGCTTATAAATACCACATCACAAGCTGAAAAAGGTATAAACTACTTTATTGAAGATTTGGGATAGGGACTTAGAAATATTAAGTAACTGTTTCAAAGGGCACCCAGTGGTGTCTCTCTTTGTGGGATGTGAACCCAAATGACTTAAAAACCAGAGAAAACTTAACCCTCCCCAAAGAAGCCATCTACTCTGTACTACCCCAAGCTGCTCTAGTAAGTTATTTGAGGGCTTTATGTTTATTTCATTGTTTGCTTATCTTTTATCATTTTATTTTCAGCAAGAGAGAGGTATGATAAAATGGATTTTTCGGAAGGTTATCTGGCAAACTATTGAAAAGGATGGTGAGACAAAATAATTGAAATAATCAATTTTTAAGGAAAATATTTAAGAACAAAGAGTCGGATACAACTGAGCAACTGAACAACAAATTTAAGAACAGGCAGATGAAGTGATCAAATAACTTTTGATGAGAGTTTTATAAAAACTAGTACATGAGTTTTGGATTTTTCTGATAGATATTCACACGAGGTGCTCTCTACACAGAAACAACCGTTCTGCAAACAGTTTCAGCTATTTCTTAATTTATTAGCAGTTGTCTTGTAAGTAAACAAATAGTCTTGCTTCATTTTACAGTCTGGTTAACTGAGGTTTCAAGAAACAATTAAGCCCTAATGCCCTAAGACATGCATTCTATACAATGACTTCTGTATATGTGGAATAGTGCTAGTTTGGTACCATTCTTGGGAGAACTGAGAAAATAGTAGTCATTTTTTGGTTTAGTTGAGGAACCCTACTTGATAAATCAGTGATACAGTCGTATCATTTGTTCTTTCTTTAACCGCCTGGGAATATTGGTAACTGGTTAAATGTTCCCTTACTGTGATGGTCTAATAATGTAACAGAAGCTTTGTTCTCTTTAACTTCTGGTATATTATCCATTTTTTACATCTAGATATGCAAAAAATGTTTAGGTTTGTGTAAAATTCATAGTAGAGTCAGAGTGACTCAGGAAAAAGTGAAGGAACTTCCCTGGTTAAGAATCGACCTGCCTGTGCAGGGGATACGGGTTCAGTCGAGATCCCACATGCTTCAAAGCAACTGAGCCCATGTGACACAGCTACTGAGCCTCTGCTCTAGAGCCCAGGAACCCACGATACATACCTGAGGTCTGTGAGCCCTAGAGCCTGTGCTCTGCAACAAGAGAAGTCACCAGAATGAAAAGCCCATGCACCTCAATGAAGTGTAGCCCCCACTTGCCACACTGGAGAAAGCCTGTGCGCAGCAATGAAGACCCAGTGCAGACCCTACACCCCGCAAAAAAGTGGAATATAGAAAGCTTTCTAGGTTGAGTAGACAGTAGCTAGTAGGGGTGAGAGGTAGAGCGTGGACAGCTTGCTACCTTAGTTTAGAGAATAGGATTGCTTGTTTACAGCAGTCTTGTCAATATGTTAATCTTTTAATTGGTGAGTAAAACTCACCACCTTTTCCTGTATGTTAGAGCTGTGTGTGTGTGCGTGCGTGCACACGCGCACAATGTGAATTGTGCCTAGTTCGTTGCAATGTTCTGACCGCTATGCCAGACTCCTCTGTCTGTGGAATTTTCCAGGCAAGAATACTGGAGTGGGTTGCCATTTCCTACTCCAGGGGATCTTCCCAACCCAGGGATCAAACCTGTGTCTCTTATGTGTCCTGCGTTATCAGGTGGATTCTTTAACACTGTGCCACCTGGGAAGCCCGTATACCATAAAGAATTGCTTATATTGGTTCACTTAAAGACAGCTAATGGTTTCCATTTACTAAAATTCTTTAGATAGACACTACATTCCACGATTTTTGTGGTCTGATCTCAAACTACTTCCATGATAGTTTATAAATTAGTTTGTTAATTTCTACTTTGTAAATTTATTTCAGCCAAATGCTTGGTCTGTATCCCCAAAACTGTTTTTGAATTTTCCTGCCCCTGCTTTTGTTTATACTGAAGTGTCCCATCTTCTATTTCCATTTTACAGACCTTTTTTATTCTGCCATACCTTACTT